GAATACATTTTAGGGCATGTATTCTGTATTCTGTAGTGGAATACATTTTAAAAGTAACCTTCCCAACACTGATGGGTGGCCTCTTTTAGCTCCAAAGAGGAAGAAATAACAAAAAAAAAGTTAAATGGGAAGGTTCTTTATTTCTCGGTTTTCAGTAGCATATTATACCTAAGCGTGCGAGTTTTTTTAGTTGTGTTTTTCATGTATCTTTATTGTATTGTCCAATATGGTCCTTTTTGTCGAGGCTTTTGTTTTGAAACTTTCAAGCTTCCGGTCGGTCACTGCGCAGGTGCTTTAAAACATGGCGGGGAAAGCTTGACAGACTCGGTGTACAGTAGAACTGTGCCGACCAAATGTAATGTTTTATCGCTAAACACTTTAGGCCGATGATGATAGTCGGTTTTGGACTTTATTAGCTAACCTTTCCGTTGCTCTCACTAACGGAAGTTATTTATTCGTGATGCAAAAAACAGAGGAAGCTGAAGGCGCTCAACAGTCGCTGGTTTTCTTTGACCTGGAGACGACTGGACTGGGTACGGTCATACTCTAACTTTGTTTTACGTGAGTTATTATGACCGATAAAACTGTATCATGATGATAATGTTTGTAAACTGCGGTTAAAAGTTGGAAAGACACACGGTTGACCCACTAAGCGCGCCGTGCACACATATGTATGGAAGATAAATGGAGCCAAAATATTCAATAGCTCATTTGTTTGTTCTTTTTTTGGTCATTTTTCTTTAAAAGAAAAAAAAAAAAACTATTAAACTATTAAATAGAATCTCTTCGAATGTAAAATGCAGCCTTGCAATAAATATGCTGTTTATTTATTTTCAATAAATATGCTATTTTTTTTGCATTTGCAGCTACATGACAAAGAGACAGTGATTTTTTTTTTTTAAATTATTATTAATGAGGTCATTTTCCCAGAAATTCTGAGAAGCTTTCAGCTACAGTCCAAAAAGTGGCAGATCTTGGCGGGAAAATGTGCAGAACAGCATCTCTGAATGCACAACATGTTGAACCTTGAAGGCTACAGCAGCAAAAGACCACTCCTGTGAGCTAAGAACAGCAAATTGAAGCTATAATATAGATTTGGACTGATATTTGATTATTTAAAAATCATATTCCAGTATAATGGCTGAGTTATTTATTCTTTCAAAGACAAAACACAAACAGATGTCCCTCGGGTTTATTATTTGTAGTTATTTTTTTACTCATTTATGCTAAGCCCATGTCTGCTGCAGGAAGCTGCACAGTGGAAGACAAACTGTGCAACATCAACAATTATTAACGTATTTGAGGGTGTTTTTTCTGTTTCTTCTTTATTTATTTTACTTTCATTTACTGGCTCTTAAAATTGCTCTTGTTTCTGCTAAAAAAAACAAACAAACAAAATCTTCAGGTAGTCATTTAAATTTGAAGCACATGAAAGTGTTCATGTTTTATTCCTCTAGATCCAAATTGTGAGATCGTCCAGCTGGCTGCGGTGAGTGGAGGCCACTCGCTGAACCTCTACGTCGTCCCTCGCTGTCGAATGCAGCGTGGAGCTTCCAAGGTGACTGGCTTCAAGGTTCACAGGCAGAGGCTGTACCTGCACCGGCAGCCTGTTCTCACCAACTCCCTCAGAGAGGTGCTCGTCTCCTTTATAGCTTTCCTTCAGATGCTCGGCCGCCCTCTTGTCGTCGGCCACAACATTCGCCGCTTTGATTGTGTGCTTCTGGCTCGCGCGCTAGATGAATTTGGTCTCAGAGCAGAGTTTGAGTCTTTGGTCTCAGGTTACGTTGACACTCTGCCGCTGTCACGTGAGGTGCTGAAGGACTGTGGGCTGGAGAGTTTTCGACAGGAGAACTTGGTCAGGGAGCTGCTGGGCGTGAGCTACAAGGCCCATGATGCTCTGGAGGACGTGCGGGCTTTACAGGCACTGTATGATGTTCTTCGGCCCAAGCCGGAAGTGATCTGCAGGCACAGATTTACTCTGGACACCATGGATGACAAAACACCTGTCACAGCTGCCAAAGTGCACTGCAAACTACCAGGACAGCGCCCCCTGTGGGAGCACTTCAAACAGACCGTGACGGTTACGGAGGATCATAACAGAACCTGATACAATTTTAATTTATTATCTGAGACTTAAGAAATTAATATTAAAAGAAAATAAGTAAACATAACGAAAGCCTGTACACTGGATATAAGGAAATAAAGCTTTATTGCACTTTTCTAGAACACAAAGAGAATTCTCGTTGTAGTTTTTTTTTCTTAATATAAAAATGTCTGTTTGTGGAACTATAAGTGGTCGATCCTTAGGCAGTGTGGGGTAAATTTTAAAATGCCTTACTCATCGTTGACCTAGCAGCTTTACTTTCCTTATTATATTCAGATATTTGCTTACAGTTTTATGACAAAAGAAATTTCATATACTTAATGTTTCAATGTGTTCTATAGAAAGCTATATTTGACATTAATAAGTGTGTTGCATTTCTACTCTGTTTCAGATTGTATACTCTTACATGCTCTTTTCTGCTCACTAGCATGTAAAACATTCCAATCAGAGATGCCTACACCGCCCTTTCCTCTCGCTCCTCAGGGCTGACACTGAGGTGTTCATAAGCGTGTCCTGGGTCTGACCTGCTGCCCGTTCAAATATCCTCAAGAGCATAACAGACACACCCTTCTCTTAAGGCTTTGATCTTTCCAGGGAGGCTGTGCAGAACATCATCAGGTCACCCCAGTCTGGTACACATTTGCCACTCTGTGACATTGTGTTATAACAAACATTTCTATGATATGATATAATAGAAATACTTGCAATACAATACAGTACTGTCACAGGGGGGGCTGTAAAAGTCTGTGTGTATGTTGTTCATGTTCATACTCCAGAGGTAGGAAATAAAAAAACAAGTTCAGACCGTACGGTTAACAGAACCTGGCTTTATTAAACCGTTTTTACATACATGTTCTCTGCAGTACCATGCTACAGCATCACCACATTCAAAAATACTCAACCATGCCCTAACTACAGACATATTCTAGTAAATGTTCCCATAAAAGGTTAAAGAAAACAATGCAAACTGTATTTGAAAGTCATTAGTTTACAGTAAGGAAAAAAGAGCCACAAACTTGAGGTGTCCAGTATTCAAATGAAAACGTGACTTACAGCAAGATCGGCAACAAAAAGGTGCGTGATCATTAAATCAGAAGTTACATTAAATACAGTACTCCACAAAACAAAGATAACATGAAAACATGGCAAACAAGAGATGATTCGTTAACAGTGTTTTGAGCTACAGAAGGATGATTTGAGGTAATCAAGAAAAGAGATCTAAAAATAACTTCACATCCTTCTTAATACTCTTCTTTTTTAAAAAAAACAAAACAAAAAAAACAACAGTAAACAAGTAAAGGTTTACCGCATCTGCACTGGGGACAATCAACCTACATCACAAGCGTGATAATAAAGCATTAACAGGGCTTCACTCACTCTGAAAAACGTGTTCAGTGGTAGGTTGGCAGGCTGATAGAGGACCTATCATTGAATATTTGAGTTGAGAGCCTATAAAAACTACTACAAGAAGAAAGTGCACATCATTATTGAGTGAATTCAGATCGACCCTGTAACTAGAACCGGAAAGTTACACAGAAGTTTGCACCATTACCGAAATAATCGACTATTACTACTGCACCAACATGTTGTAAAGTGGTGACCAAAAGAGATTATATTTTAGGAAAAGAAACCTGTTTAGCTATTATAGTAAACATGTAAAACCATTTACTTCATATGTATCGTCACGTGCTGATTAATCGTTACAAACAACAGTCAAAAAATCTGTCTCCAATACAATAAGGTATAAAATTCAATGCAGCATTTTGTTGTACAACTGTACAAAAAGACAAAAAAATCTTTTAAAGGTACTTTTTGTAATTAAACTGCAGCAAATGTTAACTAAAACCTTTATCACCTGGGGGCAGTATTTCACCAGTAAATGCCTTTGTACAAACAATGTTCTAATGGCTTGCCTGGTTAAACAAAGATTATGCTGATGCACCATCTTGTGGTACAAATTGGTATTACACAAAATTGCCGTCCAGCCCTGGTTAAGGTTCTCTTTATATCTCTTCAACAAAAAAATATATCAATGTTTTGGACGTAAAGTCATGCTGATCAATTATTTACATTCTGCTGAAAGCTTCATTTAACTTTAAGAGGTGTTAAAACACTTTTAAAACAGAGGAAATTACAATAAGTACCTTAAAGCAGGTTTAGTTAATTGTTAGTTGACAAAGAAGATGTTTGACTCGGTATGCATTTATGATTCTCGAGGTGTAACAATTCTCCCAAACTACAAGTTTCATGCCTTGGTTTTTTTTTTTTGTTTTTTTGCGTTCACACCAAAGACAAAGTGAAGTATTGCCGTGAGTTATTTGCGTGAATTCATGCACATTGGAAACTGTTGAATGAGGTATTTACAGCTGCTTTCTTTTTTCCCCCCAAGATGCTGCCACAGCGGATGGATCTGAGTTTTTGATTTGGCACAGTTTTATGCCAGATACCCTTCCTAATGCAACACTTCAAGTTACTATGCTACTAACAGCTAACAGGACAATGAGGAGTACAACCAATAGCTGGAAACATGTCAGAGTGATTTCAAAATTTGAAAATGGTGTAAAAATCCATTAGGTTGCATGAGTTCCCTCACTTTTTTTCCGCAAAGTGAAGTTTACCCGTTCAGCTCTATATACCCTCAGACAGTCTCAATACCCGTCCTGTCCGACAGCTTCAGCTGTTGTCCCAAAAACATTTCATTTCCCAAGAAGAAAATGTCCAGTGCAAAGGTTCTTTGATACATCCAGATTAGCACAACGCAAAACGTTCTTGATAATGAGGGCAACAATTCGCAGCAACATCCCCTGTTAGCCAGGAGCAGACAAGTAGAGTATTGAAGACCCAAGACCGCACGACCCAGGGAAAACTGTGTGCTCAACCCCGTAGAAGGAAGAGTGAGGCCACAGATTTATCCCCCATCGCCAAAGGGACGAGACTCAGAGGACCAGATGCAACAGGGAGCTGACCTGGCCAGATGCCAGCCATCCCAGCACAAGCTGAGGACAGGACCCCAGGCCCCAAAATGCCCAAGAACGGCCTGGAATCACACAAAGAAGCAGGTAAGCAACCACAACAAATCATCGACCCGCTCTCCCTGGACCATCAAGTACCCACATCCTACTGGAGGCAGCAATGACCAGTGGGTAGCGTCCCATCCTCCATGACAATGTCCCACAGGCCCCAGGCCCAGTCTCTCTCTCACACAAACACACACATGTATGCACAGACTGGCTCCCTCCAAGGTCATATGTGTACACTGACACGTTGTAAGCCGTAATGATGCCATCCAGTCTGACTGTAGTTTCATCAGGAGAGAATTGACAATTTTCCTCTGTCTCGTTAGATAGACTGCAGAGACGTACAAACACTTCACTTCATGTTTTGTGTGAAACATTAAAGGGAATGAATCATTGTCCATACAAATACTGTTCGCACAATGCGTAACCAAAAATCTGAAATCTGTTCTGCCTTTTTGTGTGGCCGAGTGTGGCTAGTGTTAGCATAAACACCAGAAGTACTTTTTCTTTTCAGGTTAACGCCCACATGCCTGCACAGTGCTCTGGTTGTTAGTTTTGTCAGATAAGCCCACATACAAAAGTCGAACATCACGCCCTGTCAGGGAGGGGTACTCCCACCTGTTATGGGTGACTGAACAAACTCTTCAAATCAACAGTTAACTTGCATCTAATTAAAGCACTAATTAAAGTCTGCACTTCTAGTACTTCTGGACTTTATGCATAGTCGAGAAATAGCAGGCGTCCCCGCTTGTTACGTGAACAATCTTTATTACATCTTTCATAAAGTTAGCATGCTTTAACTGCTCTACGTGAATCCCAGAGTACCTGAGCATGGTGGACGTTTGTATCATGGTTTTGGTCTCAGAATTGTTACACCCCTGCATGGTTGCCACATCGTCATGCTTCATGGGACAGAGATGGAAATGGCTCTTCATGCCCGCTTCTTATTTATTTTTATTCATTCATTTTTAATACTCATGAGTTTTCATCACTTTGATGGGATGTTTCCAGACTGTAAAACATGCGCTGGTAACAGAAGCAGTAACACTCAGCAGGCTTAGCTTCATTGTGATTGGTTTGTAGCACTGATATAGTAATCACAGAAGGTGCTCTGGAGAGTGCTACTGCTCTAAAACATGCACAGGCATCTCAGTATCACACTTTGTACTTTTTACTGTTTTTCTTTTACTTTTTTTTTGCCTAAAATTAAGTTTGAAAGGTGGATATTCTCCAGTTTGAGATAAAGTTAAAATGACAACACTGATCCTGGGGGAACGCAGTAGCTGGCATATAAAACAGATGTGCTTTGTTGTCCTCAACAGGTTGGTTGTCTGGCTGTTCAAAGCACTGAGTGGTGATGAAGTGAACAAGAGTAAACATCAGCCCCACAATGCTGTTTAGTTCATTACAGCTAGTGTGTGTCACCTTCATGATTCAGGGTATAAGATAACATGCAGGAAAAAAATTGAGAAATTAACTGTACTTGATGTTTTTTTCCAGTTATCACCAACATTTTTTACATTCCGCCTTCAGCTAATTGAAAACTTTTAATCATATTGGATGTTCTTCACTTGTCCTGGGACAGCAGATGTTCAGATTTCTATTTTTGAGCAAACTAAGGACCTTAAACACCAAAACAGCAACTAAACAGACATATTTTACTTTTTATTCTGCCCTCTTTCCAGCACCTATAAAGAATTTTGGATGTGCAGATCTTCTGTGTTTTATGAGTACTTGCACACACGAAAAGGGTAAGAACCAATTAAATCCATCAGCATTGGATTAAAACTGGAGTTTAAAGCTAGAGAAGAGTGCTGGAGGTGGCGGAGAGGGCACATGTTACATTTTAGGGGTTAAAGGGGAGCAGCAGGTACCGATGAGCGTCAATAAACTGGGTCTAGAGGCTCCTTTAGCTTCTATACTACCTTGTAAAAAGTGCACGAGTCATTGAGCTCAGTTAAAACACAAGGACAAACCTCGACACTTCAAATCACAAATACAAACAAACAGGTAGTATGAGCTTTAACGACCACAGACCCACAACTACAGAAGGCAGCAGGCTCGAAAAAGGGTCATTCCCGACTGTGAGGTGATGTGTAGAGAGATGCTCTCGTTGGCCGAGACAAACAGGACGCTGCCCCGCGTCAGTGTGAGGTCGGAGAGAGCGGCAGGCGAGGTTCCCGTGGCTTCACCTTCAATGACCAGGAGGATGCTGGCGCTGTCGACTGGAGCAATATTGTACTGCTTCACTGAGGCTGGGATCTGCAGGATGGAAGGGTGACAATGAGTCGGTATTTAAAACAAACATTACAAAACTAAAGAAAACATTCGAGACTTCCTGTTTAAAGGTGGTGCTTGCAATAGTCCAGTTTGGATGTCGATCAAAGAGTGTGTCGTCAATCCTTAATCAACCAATCAGCATGCGTTGGCGTTTTTTAATTGCTTTAGCCATTACACGCAATTCATTCCTCTCACTGAGGACCCTCTCATGAGCGCCACCTGCTGATTAATAAGATATAAATCCAGTTTTACCAGCAACTGTGGCCTCATGTGCAGATTTCTAAATTTGATGATGTGTACTTTGTGACTTCAGACATTTGTTATACTTCAGTTCAGGTCTAACTGTAGATGTGTATTTTTAACAGTATTAAAATCACAGGTGTTGTAATAACATCAATAATGGTTTATCATTAACTAAAGCTAGGTATGAAAAACCATTTTGCTGAACTGGAATCAAATAAAATCTAGACACATGAAAAAAGTAAAATGACACTGTACACGACATATACACTCACCAGACAGTTAACTACACATGTTAAACTGCTTCTTATCTAATCAGTCACATGTCGGCACCTCATTGTAGATATGGTTAAAAAGACTGATCATCAACGGGGGGAAGAAAGGTGATTTAAGCGATTCCCTATTTTTGCTTTACTGTCTGTAATTGGGATTTAACTTCCTGAAATCAGTGAAGTTTAGAGTCTTCGTTGGTCTTTGTTAAACCTTTCATGCATGAATTATGAAAACCTCAATCAGGACTTTTTTCCTTCATCTTTAGGCATGAAAAGATGAATAAAAATACTTAAGAAAAAATCCTGATTGAGGTTGTCATAATTCATGCATGACAGGGTTAAATAACAATGATTACAATGAAACACGTCATACATCTATAGTCACACTAAGCGACCAGTGGATGGCAGGGTATGGAGTGACACATCAGTGTCCAATGTATTGGTTTATGTGCAAGTATACCATCAACACTGACACAAATACAAGAAAACAGCCTTTGCATAGCTGTTCACTGTAGTGACCACTATGCGTGAAGGGGTTAATTTGGTCAGATTGTTAGAGTCACATAACTGTGACTCAGCTGCCTTCAAAAAGTGTTGTGTTTGTATTGCACGATCAATTTGTAACTCCTTAAATCAAACCCCTAAAACGAATACTGAAACTAGTAAAAACTAAAGTGAAACTAAGCAGTTTTACAAAAACTAAACTCAAATAATAAAAGCCACTTTGGAAAATACATGAAACTCGCGTTTCTTTCAAATTTGTTTTTGCACTCTATCAGTTCAACAAATTACGTGTCAAAGCGTCACAAAGGCAGACTGATGGAAGGAAGGTTTCTATAATATCAACTCCGAGTGAACATGGGTTGAGAGTAAAAGTTTAACTTTTTAAAAACACAAAACACAATATGCCAAATATTACATTTTAAACTAAATTCTAAGGAAAATTAAAAACAAAAAAACAACTGGTTATTATATACACTGATCAGATATAACATTATGACCACCTGCCTAATTTCTGTGTTGGTCCCCGTCTTGCTGGCAAAACAGCCCGGACCCATCGAGGCATGAACTCCACTAGACCTCTGAAAATGTGCTGCTGTATCTGTACCAAGATGTTAGCAATATATCCTTTAAGTCCTGTAAGTTGCAAAGGGGGCCTTCATGGATTCTTTTGTCAAGCACATCCCACAGAATGACTGGATTTAGATCTGGGGAATTTGGAGGCCAAGTCAACACCTCAAACTCATTGCTGTGGTCCAACCATTTTTTGCTTTGTGGCAGGGAGCATCATGCTGCTGAAAGAGGCCACAGTCAGCAGAGAATACTGTTTCTATCAAAGGCTGTACACATCAAAGTAACATCCACATGGATGGCAGGACCCAAGGTTTCCCAGCAGAACATTCCCCAAAGTGTCACACTCCACCAGCTTGCCTTCTTCCCATAATGCATCCTGGTGCCAGGTGTTCCCCAGGTAAGCAACTCACACACACCTGACCATCCACGTGATGTAAAAGAAAATAAAACATGATTCATCAGACCAGACCACTGCTTCCATTGCTCCTTGGTCCACTTCTGATGCAGATCAGCAAGGACACCCTGACTGGTCTGCTGTTATGCAGCCACATACACAACAAACTGTGATGCTCTGTGTATTCTGATGTCTTTCTATGAGAACCAGCTTCAACTTTTTCAGCAGTTTGAGCTACAGTTACTCATCTGTTGGATCAGACCACACGGGCCAGCCTTCACTCCTCACATGCATCAATGAGCCTTAGTTGTCCATGACCCCATCGCTTATTCAGCACTGTTCGTTTTTTGGGCCACTTTTGATAGATACTGACCACTGCAGATGTGGAACAGCCCACAGGAGCTGCAGAGATCTTCTGACCCAGTCATCTAGCCATCACTCCTTGTCAAACTCACTCACATCGTTACATTTCTCAATTTTCCTACTTGAAACACATAAACCTTGAGGACAAAATGTTCACTATCTCCCTAATATATCAAACCCACTAACAGAAGCCTTGATAAAGAGACAATCAGCGTTATTCACTTTAACTAGCAGCGGTCACAGTGTTATGTCTAATTTGTATATAATGTCAATATATCACGTAAAGTTAGTTGGGTTTTTTTCTCAAATGACAAGGTTTTATTTTAAAGATGAGATCAACTATACAATTTTCTAACCTGTATCCTCATGACAGTGAAGTCTGGCACGGGCGGGTTGTATATGGACACACAGGGGTCAGAGGGGTCCTGAAGACACGGGAAGATTTTCGAGGAGGCGGGGGCGGGGCTGTAGTTCAGCATCTCACAGAGCGTGTTAACATCGATGTATTTGGGTGTCAGTCCGGCCCTCACAGTGTTGTCTGAGCAGGCCATGCACTCAATACAGTCTAGATGGGTGCATAAATAGAAAATCAAATATTAAAATCAATTCCCAGAAAATCCTGCAATGTTAAACAGATTCAGATGCTTTCATGTGGGCGAACAGCAGAACAGGGCAATTTTCCAGAGATAAAGATGAGCTGTACACATCATCAACACATCTCATAGCCGGATTGCATTTTATTCTGCTGAGACAGCTGCTAAAAAAGACACTGCGGTAAATCAGTGCTTCACAGACTGCTGAGTTCACAGAGAAGCTCTTGTGTATGCTTCATGTTTCAAAGAAGATGACACCAAAGCTCGACATTTCTGGAAAAAAAAAAAAAAAGGCTGGCTCTCAGCATTTTGCAGTTTGCTCCCAGTGGATGAGGCAGTTTTACTAGCTTCCACGTCATTTGCTGAAAATAACTAAATCGATGTATTTAACATCAACTCATCTAAGGAATCAAATAATACACACAGAATTTACTGGAGTTGGCTACTTGGTTATGTTAGTGACACCCAAAACATTATTTATTCTGCCTACTATTTTTACTATGTCCTCCACCCAAGAGACAGACACCATTTACTGTTTACTGTCAGACAAACCCCACTTTTTGTGAAAGTTCATTAGTTGCTGGCAGACCACGTCCTGTCTTGTGTTTCCCTACCTGCAGACTGATTAGTTCACTCTTGTGGCAGTCTTTGATATAATTTAGCTTCCTCTCCAGAGTCTCTTGTCCAGCAGTTGGACAGATTCCAGTTTAAATATCTCTGACTGTACAACAACACGTATTCTGCTCTGTCACAAGCCTTTTAGTATACTTCAGGGTTCTTCAGTGTAAAATAATAAAAATGCACAATCCTCCTTTAAAAACTCCCTGTGTATTAATCTGCAGCTGAACGTAGTTCAATATTTGAGTAGCATTTTCTCAAAACTACAGAGGCCTGCAGTTTTGAGACTTTATGATCTATACTTTAAGATTTGTGGTAGAGATGCAGTGGACGTGACGTTGAGAGTAACAGAAGATGCATAAAAACATTGTTTATTTTTATGTTTGGGATTAAAGACCCAGCGCTTCTATGACATAATAGCTCATCCAGTTTATTCACCTTCAAAATGTACAGGTTATTGACTGTAAAATGACAAATGTGATCCATTAGGTGATGAGTGTGTTGTAAGCTTGACTAAAATTCTGACCAATACTGTAGAAAAGTGAGTCTTGTGGACAGACAGAAGCCAGTCTTGGCATAGTCAAATTGGTCGTCCAGACAGAAAAGCCTAAGCTGCTAAATAATCCCATACTAGCTCTTAAAAGCCGTATCTGCTGCTCTGTTATGCAGAAGAACTGCAGCGACACTGGAGAGTCCATAGTTTCAGTTAGGCTCACTCAACTGAATCTGGAGCTCTATTGTACTAGAATCTTATAAATGTAAATGCTATCTACTGACCTCCATAAAGGTAAGCGTGAGGCTCATTGGCTCCCAGGAACATGGCCTGGCCTGGATTCAGGACCACATGATTGAGGAAGTAGATTGAGAAGCAGCCAATGTCTCCAGGGTACTGAGAGTGGAGACGGAGCAACAGGTCACCACTGATGCCTGATGTGTCCTTTCCAGCTGCAGCTGCAAGGATCACAAACATCCCGAGGTAGGACTGTGTTAGCAAAACATAAGATCAGACTGAGCTCTTATTTTTCTCTGTGTTTTAAAGTCATTTTTGTATAATTGCAGAATGGTCGACTTTGCTGCCAGATGCTAACACTGCTAGGTGTGAATGCACAGCACCGTTCCCCTGATGTGAACTCACAGCTGGACCCTACCCTTTCACTGTAGCTATTTATTCTAACACAAATACCCTCAAAACATTATTTATACTTCAGCAATTATGTTTTAGTAAATGCTTCAAGTTAGCGGATACCACACTTTTTCAGGTCTTACATACTTTTTCAATTCAGTTCAGTTTATGTAATGCTAAATCAAACGCCTCAAATGCTTGCTCATAGGAGCAAGCATTTGGCAACAGTGGGAAAGAAAAACTCCCCTTTAACAGGAAGAAACCTCCATCAGAATCAGCCATCTGCCACGACTGCCTGAGGGTGTCAAGATTAAAAATATCATCACTAGCTAATGAGAAACCTTCCTATCCAATGCCAGAATCACACAAAGGTTTCTTAGCCTTTATAATTTTAGTAATTACTCCAATCTGACACACAGATTCGATCTTCAACATGTAGGTCCTGGTTAAAATGTGGGCAGAACTATATAGTCTAAGAAGCTTGGAAAGAAAAGCGTCTGGACTTCTTTAAGTTACTTGAAGACGTTTCACCTCTCATCCGAGAAGCTTCTTCAGTTTCTAAGGTCAAATGGTGGAGAGTCCCAGATTTAAACCAAGTGGGAGTATCCCCCCAAAGAGGGACAAAAGGACCCCTGATGATCCTTTACCAAATCACATGAGTCAAAGTGTGAAAACGGGTGTGGGTCACAATCAGCCAGGGTTTCGGGCGAGCTCATTGTGAAACCTAGCCCCACCCTATCACGTGATTTCCTGAGGTCAGATGGCCCAGGGTCCCTTTTTCCCTCCTTGGGGGATACTCCCACGGGGTTTAAATCTGGGACTCTCCACCATTTTACCCTAGAACTGAAGAAGCTTCTCGGACGCTTTTCTTTCCAAGCTCCTTAGACTACGATGACATGGATGACTGAGAACCTTCACAGACCCAGAACTACAAACATAACAGTAGATAGCTGTAAGCTGTGTATACAAGAACATACATTTAAAATTGCGCATTAAGAAATTAGTTTTAAAAATTATCTTTGGCTATAAAAACAAATACTGCAAATCAGACTTTGACTCTGCAATTGTCAATGTTTTTTTTCAGTTAATATAGTATAGATCTTTTAAAGAATCTATTATTGTAAATTAATCTCTTTTTAATAAACCGTTTTCAAAATATTTTTTTTTGCCTTCAGTGGCCTTGATACAATTTTTGTGTAATTTACATTAAAACTGCCTCAGAAATGTGTAATAGTTAAACGACACATATCTACACACACATCATGCAACCTGTTGACGATCATTTAAACGAATTCTCACCGTCTTCCGTGACCCTTTTCACCAGCTCGTTGAGGTTCTCTACCACCACCTTCTTCTCCCAATCCATCATCCTGGTGAAGCACCTCTTCAGCGCCTGGCTCGTACGGTCTGCATCTCCCACGCTGGCCCGCAGCTCTTGTGCTGCCCCGTGACCCACCAGAGTGTGGAACTCTGGGACCTCTGACAAATAAACACACGCAGATTAATTTTGTTTTATGACCATTTGAAGCAGAGTACATGTTTTTTGGTTTGACACAAAAAATCCAAAACTCACTTTCAAGAAATTCCAGGATCTCTTCCACTGGTCTGAAGCCACAGAGGCCTTCGAAGCGGGTGAGAGCAATGGCCATCTCAGGTTTGTGGTTGGTGTCTGGGTAGTGCTCCGGAAACTGAGTGTGTAGTCGAGTGGCTAATTCCTGACCAAAACATTATAGAAAAAAAACATGCGTTTTCATACACATACAAAGGAAAAAAGTATGTCCTTGATCCTAAAAAACTTCAAAACACAATGAGTTTAGTATCACTACATGCTATACAAGTAGATTTGAGTAATGCTTTCTCCTGATAAATCATTTGATAAAGCAGCTGACATTTGCCTCCACCAATAAACTTCAGCCAGTTTACAATGATGAGCCAGCTTCAGCAGAACTTGAACTCTGAGCAGGTGTGTGAGTCCGTGTACTCACCTTGTTGGGGTGGGCTTGTATTGACAGAGCCGTGTTGACCGAGAGAACTTTGAAGAGGAAAGGCAGCTGACCCTGGAAGGTGTCTTTCACCTTTGAGCCCAGACATGCAGGGAAGTGGGCGATCCACTGGCCCAGGGTGGTCTGTGCGATCCTGTTGTCCTTAATCTGGGCGTCACCTTTTGGGTGAGCGCCCATCCACAGCTGGAGAAAACAGCACAGCTTTCAGCTGAATAACAGCTCATACTTTATTTACTTTATTTAGAAATATTCCTGTTGGTGTTGCAGCAAGAGGTTCCAAAAGTGGGCACACTTTACATTTCCTAAGTACTAAATCTTAAGTAAATATAATTAAATAAATAATAAAAAACACAGTTTTGTAGCTCTCCTTATTTTCTTTTTATCTGCCTTGAAACTTTCTAAAAGAACCTATGAGAGGCCCCAGATGTCTTGCTGACTGAGAGAAAAGCCTGCGATTATACATGGACCCAATTAATCCAATACTCCAAACCACGGTCATTTATAGTCAGTGAAAAGGAAGGAATCCAAACTATGAGAGTGTAATCTACGGGATCAGAGC